GTGTCTCTCTGGCGATCAGATCTCTCAATATACGAGTACGTGTTGAAAAATCAGGGATGAACTTACGGTAGTGGTTGGCGAACTGTAGGAACGAGTACAGCTTCTTGGCGTTCATGTGTGGTTGAAACTTGTCGACTGCGGCGACTCGAGCTTGGTCAAGCGTACGTCCGTCCGATGATATTTCGTATCCGAGGAAAGTGACGTTGTCGCGCACGAGTTGGCATTTCTTAATGTCCATTTTTAGTCCGTTGGTAACGATTCTGTCGAGAGCTGAGTCGAGGAGTTCTAGTGCTTCCTTGACCGTTGTTGCTCCTTGCCCTACGTCGTCCATATAAGTGGAGGTTCGTGGCAATCCGTCGAATGTGCGTCGCATCACTTTCTGCATAGTCTGTGGAGCTTTGCAAAATCCAAATGCCATTCGGAGGTACTCGTACTTTTTGTCCGGTGTTACGAATGCCGTTTTGTGGATATCATCCGGTTTCACGCGTACGGTAAGGAAAGCTGTCTTTACATCCATTATGTTGAAGTACTTCGACTGGTCACGCATGATATCGTCGATCACATCTTCCATGATGGGCATGGGATAGGACGGATTCACAGTCTTCGCGTTCAGCTTCCTGTAGTCGTGAACCATCCTTCGCGGAGTCGTTGGGTGGTGCGGTTGATCCACAACAATCGTCGGTGCGGCATACTCGCTTTCGCTTGGCTGTATGATTCCCTTCTGGATGTAGTCGTCGACCTGATTGAGGATAAATTTTCTGTCCGCTGGGGAGCACCTGTATGCCCGGGATACGACTGGTATGTCGTCCCGTAAATCGATGGAGTGTTCGGCGTGTGGGCAAAGTCCGAGTGATTCCCCCTCTGACACGAAGGCTTCGCTGTGCCGGATGAGAATACACCGTAGTTTGTCCGCTTCATCGGGTGTCGCGTCTTTTGTCATTTCTGACACCGTTTCCTCGATGTCCTGAAGCAACTCTTTGCTTTGGGTCTGTTTTTTCGTGTTGAATCTTACGTATTCCGTCTCTTCGATGGCGGTCGGTGTACTGGATTCTCGTTTGCAGAACGAAACGATTAGTGTCTCTGCGGTTCGGCTTTTCTGATGCGTGGATGTCGTTGAATCGCGCATGTCGCGTGCGGATTGCTCGTTGTCGTCGTTCGGTATTTGCACGATCGTGACATCGTTCGATGTATGAAAAGTCACATCAACGTTGGCTTGTTGGCGCCAGTCAGATCCCAGTATCACATCCAAAGGCGCTGGCAATGGAGCGATAACTACGTTGGGAAGCTGCGTTCGTGTGGTACCAACAGTGATGTCCAGCTTTGTTGTGCTTTTCGGTTCAAGTTTGCGATCGAGGACTTGGATGTGCTCTTGTCCTTTCCATGGGCTCGTTTTCGTCCCTACGTGAAGCGCGGATGGTGCGATGATGGAGACGTTAGCACCGCTGTCAATGCAGACTTTAACGGGCCCATCGTTGTGCACGAATCCGTCGACAATTGGAAGGCTGCCTCCAGTGGATCGTAGAAAGCAGTTCGCTTGTCGGTTCGTAACTGAGCTCTGAGCGTTCGACGTTGAGCCAGTGTTGCGTCGTTCTTCTGCACGGAGTGTTGTGGTCGTTTTGGGTTTGGTGCAATCGCGTGACAGGTGACCAGATTCACTACAATTGAAGCACTGTCGGGAGGGAGGCCTCTTGAATAGGCTGCTCGGTGCGGATTCTGACGTTTGGCGTTGAATGTTGGTCTTTCCTGACGATCTAGATTGCTGTGCCTGCGTGCTTGGTTTTTCGGTGCGTCTTCGACAATCGAGCATGGCTGCGCGTTCGATCAGTTCGATAACCGTTTTGCAGCACTGCGCGGCTAATGGGTTAGCCCAATTATCGTCCTTTATCCCGTTCAAAATGAGGGATATGCGTTCTTCCATAGCAAGCGTATATGGTGCCATGTCGAGCTTTGCGTTTTTAGAGTAAATGTATTGGACGATCGACTCACTTTCGACGAGTTGTCGTTTCTCTTGGAACTCGACGAATTCCTGCATGGTCATTTTTCGTTTGAACCTCTCGGTGATTTCGTTTTTCCAAGAGTCCCAATCGTTGATTTTTGATCCGTATGATGATTGCCAATCTTTCGCTGATCCGCGGAGTCGTGAAATGGCGTTCACGAGGGCAAGTTGAGGTGTCCAATGAGCTAGGGCTGCGATACGTTCCACCTCGGCGATCCAGTGCTTGATATTGGTCTCGATGGCACCGTCGTAGATGGGGATTGCTGTTGAGGTGTCGCTCGTTGAGTGCACCTGTAGTGGTTGCCCTTGTCGTGCCATGGACTCTGAGATTCGGGCTTGCGTCTCGACGATCATCCCGAGAAGATGGGTGATTTCGTGTCGTTCGTTTTCGTGTGGAGTCGACGTTTGCGGGGGAACTTCGGGAATGATGACGTTGCTCTGCGTGGGCGTTGGTCGCGCTGGGATGTCGCTTGGCTCCAGCCGTTGCACTGTCGGGCCGTTGCTGGGAGCCGTTGCTACGTCTTTGGGAACGTCTGATGCCTTCGTCAAAGATACAGCTTGGATGAGGCGTTGCATCTCGGCTTGTAGGCGTTCGACATCGGCTTGGAGCTTGTCGTTGGCTGTGGAGAGTTCCTCGATGCGAGCTTGCTGCTTGTTGCGAGTCTCGCGGACGGACATGAGGGTTTCCACCGTGCCTTCAGCTCCTCGTCGATTCGCGTTGTCGTCAACAAGTCTGCGGATGAGTTGCTTTTTCGGTCCGCTGCATGGGAGATGACGAGACCTCAATTCTTCCACCAGCTCGTATTTGGAAAAGAGGTGAAGATCATCAGCGTTCACTGCGTTCAAAGCGTCGTTGACCGCAAAGCGTCGTTCCTTGGTTCCGCTTTCGTTGACGCTCGTTGACGGGGTGTGGCCGCTCGTACCCTCCGTTGATGTCGGCTGCGCCATGTCAGGTTATCCGTTGGGGTTTTGGGAGTTCGTAGGTAATCGTAAGATTAATGCGTAGACTGGGGTTGATTTAAAATTAACAAGACGTTTATTAACTGGGATTACAATCGGTTACACAAGTTTACATTATGTAGGAAGGAAGAGCGGTCGTCCCGTCCGTATCGTACAGCGTCCCGGAGTCGTCTCTGTTGCGAAGGGGCTTCTCCTCGGTGAGACGTAACCCGACGCTTTGCTCCTCTCGCCTCGGAATCCCGCCCGGGTCACGTAAACCGGGGGGCCCGATTCTGGGGGCTCCACGGAGGTGCAATGGGAAAGCCCGGGCTGGACCAAATTTTTGGTCGACTGTCTGGGTCTCTGTCTGGCAGGCAAGGTGGCTCTCTGCGCGGAAGACGCTTGACGCTGACATGTTAATATTTGGTGTTAATTAGAAAATTCAGCTGACTTTCCCAAAAGGTGTCATAATAGCGCGTGTCCATTTAAAACAACCCATTTTTCATTTCTTTTTTAAAAATTATAACCTATTCTTAATTTTGGGTATTACGTTCCTTTACGTCCGGTACTCAAAGGGTGCCCGATGCCCGTCCCACCGCGGAGCCGGTGGCTACCAGCGTGGGCGGTCGCCTCGCCGGGTTCGCGATCGCCATGCCAACAAGGAGGATCCCGCTATTCAACAGCGTTCATTGGGAAACAGGAGTCTCCAACGAATGTCAAATCTCGTCATTTTCCACGCCTCGAGCTTTTCAATTCTCTAGACGTGGGAATAAAATTGGTACGGCGTACGTATATAGAGGCCTCCCAAGGACATGGCTTACATATATATGTTCGTCTAGAGAGATAAAATATAAACCCACACCATCATTGCATGAACTAATGTGTAATCACCCAGCTGCTTATTTTCAACTGGAACCGGTTCCATTACGATCTACCATTTCTAATACCCTAGTTTATGAGCTGTGAGAGTAGACCAAGAATCCTTGCTTAAATATAGGTGACAAAAGCTCATTAACAAAAATACCTGTGCGACTTGATAATTAAAAACTCGAGGATTCAAACTCATTACTTATGAAGTGATTCATCTCGTCAATACCTAATTTGCCCAGAAAAGACGAAATTATCAGGTTGTTACTAGTGCTGGGCGTCGATTAAAAGTTTTAACCTAGGTGATCCCCACCCTTTAATCAATTAAATAATCGATTAATCGGTGTAATTTATTTCTATGCATAATATTAGAAACGACAAAAATAAGATTCTTTATTTTTTGCCACAGCTGAATATGTGATAAACGGTGCAATATACAATTTGGATTATAAAGCAATCTCGTTGTGCTGTACAGTTCAAAGGCACCCACACTCACAAGTTATCACTTCAGCTGCATGAGGCAAGAAAGTTCATTGGTATTCTCTGGCGAGAGCAACCTCCCTTGATTGTTCACAATAGTCCCTGCTGCGCTAAACGAACGCTCGCACGGCGTTCAAGTGGTCGGGACACGTGTAACCTTCTGCACTTGGCTAGGATTACAAATCTCGCCCCTAGGAATCTCCTTCTTTTTTTTTTTAGTTTGGTTTCAAGTCTGTTTTTTTATGCAGTTGTATTTGTCCACATGTTCGTGGTGAAAGCGTTTAATTTTTTATTTTATTTTGGCTCGTCAAAATTTTACCAGTTAACGGGACAAAATTCAATCGCGTTTAAAGCACTCATTGATTCATCGGTAGGTTAATTGATCAACTGACAGGCCCTAGCTGTGACCTAGCCATGTAATAACATACTGTTCTCGTATTGCAGGAGAGCAAAAAACAAAATCCCCTCCTTGTCAGGGGGGATGCAGTTAGTACTTTATTCATAGCACATAATCATTCAATAAGCTAGTTGCCGGGCCAATCTCTTATCTATATCAATGCAACTTTTCTTAATAAGTAAGTCGGTAGCCAAAATACAGATTTTTAAGGAAATAATATAATCGTCTGTACCGTATGTAGGTATATATTTAAATTACAGTCGTGAGCTCATGCAATAAACACTGTCTAGCGCTGTCAAAACAAAAACAAAAAAAACTTACCCAGATAATCATCAGGTAAATCAAATGTAGTGGTGTCTACTGAATTATCGGCCTCGTGTCCGCCACCATTAGCAATGCCTGCAGTAGAGAGCAAGCTATGTATCTACTCTTCCTATCCCGATTTTTTTATTTATTTATTGATGGTACCTCAAAGGCTCAATTAAGGGCATTATTACAGTTCCGTTAAAAAGTAGCAAACTTAAGGCCCTGCCATAATGCTTTCCAGTCGTTAAGTTTTCTTAAGTTAAGTAATGTCGTTCAGTAATGTCGTAGCCTAAAGTTTTGAAACATTTGTTTTTATTTTTTAAAGCTTATAAAATTTAAAAAAAAAACACAATGCTACACTAAAAAAATACTGATGAAATCCACACAGCTTTGAAGGGCTTGCTCGAATTCGCGTTTAGTTTAAGAATTGTGAGTGACTGGCCAGAAGTTATAAAGTTCTATAAAATTTTATTGAAAATCTTATTGAGATAGACCCCTTCCAAAATTCACGTGCCGATTATTAGACGGTCGGAACCCCTGTAAAATGGAAGAACAGTGGTCATTGTGGAACGTCAAAGTCAATAGGGAGTTTTCGTAGACCGCGTTTCTCCCTCCGCTAAGCCCACCGCAACGAAGATGCCGTTACTGCGCCTGCGCGCCGATGGCCTTGACTGTAGAGTGCCGGGAAAAGTAGCGGGTTGTGGAGAAAGTTGCGGGACGGCCAAAACGAAAACTCCCCATTGCATAAGATAGCAAACGTCGGAGCGTGGCCAACGCTGTAGAAGTCATGAGCCAATCAAACAGCATCGAAAGTGCTACGTCACTACGCACATAGCCTTTTCTGAGGGTGCGTTTTAGTCTTCTAATTGAAGCGAACGTATAAAGTGTGCCATGACGCTGCGGTTTTAGTGCGCCATTGTACAGAGATTCCAGAGCGGCCAACAGAGGGCAGTCGTTCAAAAGTGTCTATAGAGGTGGACCGGGGCATAAAAGAAAATTGTATTGCTTGTATAACGTTTATACAGCCTTGATGCTAGTACGCCTCAACGGGTGACCTGTCTTTTAGCTGTAGATGAAAAATTTAGCCAGTGCAGTACAACCGCTAACCTCGGGTTTTTTAACGTGCATCACGCAGTAGGGATTACAAGAATGCGTGCCGGTACGAAACTCATTCAGATCGCCCTATTCACTAGTTCAGAGTTCACATGTCGTAGACGTGACGTCACGGTCAAGCGGCGCTTTTGCAGTAAGTCCGATACGCTATCAGCACGCTGCCACATTTCTTTCTCCTTACACAAAACGATTCGGTGGCTTGCAAGCACGGGAAGTTCGCCTAAGCGGTTGCTTGTCCGCTTTGGCAGATGGCTCTGCCGCTATTGAGTTCGAGGGCGTTGCCTGGCACTGTTCTTGGGCGCGCCCGAGAACAATGCCCGACAACGCTCCCTCGAGCCGTAGCGGGGGCTCGAGCCGAAGCGCGGCGCTGTGACGTTGGGCGCCAGATCAGCCGTAGGCATCAGCGCCGTTGACCTGGTTGGATCTGTTCATACTTGTGCTGAGAAGGTAACGACTGGCGGAATCGGTTGGTCTTCCACCCTTCCGCGCTTTGGACTTAGGACATGATCCGCATGTCGAGGCGGCATGTGGTCAGCGTGCGTGAAGCGAAGCTGGTTGAGCAGCTTGACCACATACGTCAGAGCACTCACCACCCGAGACACGATTTATTCTTCCCAGGAGACACGCTCGACGCGCACTGTTTTCACAGAAACACGGTCACCGACAGCGAGCACACGCGCAGCGCCACGCGATACGTCAAATTGTTATTTCACGCGAGCTTGCTCTTGTTCCATGTCCCCAAAGAAATCGTATTTAAAAAAAAAATGTGTTTCGTAAGTGCCTGGAGCTTCAAAAATAATTTGGCGGGCGACTTCCCAGACACGCTGCTAGGTGCGTTGCAATAACACAAGAAAACTATCAACACATTCCTGATGCGAAAGCTGTCTACCGGTTGCTTCACTTTCTAGCACCTGTTTGAAAAAGGCTCCTTTCACAACTTGGACAGTGCGTTCCACTGCGCCGTTCGAGGCTGCGTGGCAAGGCGGAGTGCGAATGTGTTTTACGCCGTTTACGCTTATGAAGGCAGCGAACTCCGCTGTCGTGAACTGCGGTCTGTTGTCTCTCACTAGCACATCGGGGAAGCCGTAAGCAGCAAATGCTCCCCTAACTTTTTAAACGGTTTTAGATGTGGATATAGAGGCAATCAGCCACACTTCGATACACTTTGAAAATGAATCGATGAGCACCAGAAACACACATTTGTACATTTTGGAGCGAAATCTACGCGTCCACGGGACCAGCATCTGGCAGAATAGTTCCAGGGATGAAGTGGTACCAGACGGGCGGTGGACTGAACTGCTTGACAGGTTGGGCACTTCTTTACGTGCTTCTTTATAGCCAGGTCAATCCCGGACCTCCATACAAAGCAACGTGCAAGAATCTTCACGCAGCTTGCTTCTGGATGTTGCTCTGGCAGCACGTTCAGCACGCAGCTCCTCAGCTGTTCCGAGATCACTACTCGGACCCCCAAAGTTACGCAACCTTGCTCGAGTGAAAGCTTATCGCGGCGCACATAGTATGGCCCGAGTTGTGCGTGTTGGCTCGGCCAGCAGTTAAGAGTAGACTTGGCTACGCGACACAACGTCAAACTTCGTTTTGACAATTGTCATATCTCCTCAACGCTAAGTGGGAGACATAGAAACACAAAGAGGTACTCAACATGTTCCTCCTCGGCGGGGACGAATTGAGGCAACCTCGATAGGGCATCAGCTGCCTCCATGTTTTTCCTTCGGCGATATCTGAGCCGGTATCTCTATGCTGCGAGGGCCATGGCCCAACGCTGAATTTGTGCGGCTGGCAAGGTGGGCTTAGGCGTATTCTGACCAAGAACGCCTAGCGCCGGTTGATAATCTGTGTAGATTGTAAACTCTTGGCAGAAGAGGTAACGATAAAACGTTTTTAGGCCGAAGATTAACGCATAAGCTTTGCGCTCGCACTGAGTGTACTTTTCCTTGGCGGACGTTAACGTTCTCGAGGCAAAAGCAATTGACCTCTCTTCACTGCCAGCAGCTTGTGAAGGATAACTGCCCTTTTACCGGTATGAGCACCCGGGAGACCGACCAGAACGGTTCACCCAACGTTCACCCAACAAAAAAAAAAGAAACCCCAAAGCCTTTCGTAGTGGTACCATATATACACGGGACCACTCATCGTCTAAAAAAGATCGCTGGCCGACAAGGCATTCATGTCGTGTGCTCAGGCCCCAACTAGGCGCACGTTATGTGCCGTAGGGTGAACCGGGAGACCGACCAGAACGTCAGGACCACCTGCGGCACTGCGCATCGAGCACCCTACGCCCCATGCGAAAAAGGAGTCGTCTTCAATATCTCTACGTAATGTAGCAAATTCTACATAGGGCAAACAGGAAGGTGTATAAACGCCCGCACCAGAGAACATACAGCCTCTGTGGCCGCACTAACGTCGGCTGGCCATCTTTCGGCGCATTGTCGGTAATGCAAATGTGCTCCCGACCTCTCAAACGTCACCGTCGTCGCACGACACCGAAAACAGCTTGGGAGGGAGATCCTCGAGTCGCTCGCCACTGAGGAGAGTGGTGGACAGTGCGTAGGTGCCTCCTCCGTTGGGCTCTTTCCTAAAGAAAAAATATATCTGCCGGGAGCGGCCCCTCGGAGCAACCAAGTCGGGACCATTTAAATGCCAAGATCCGACAGAGGAAGAAGTTGTCACCTCTACAGAAAGTGTCGAGAAAAAGAAAGTTTTTCTATCTAAGATCCGACAGATGAAGAAGAAGATACCTATAGGGATGGCGTCGAAGAAAGGAAGTTTTATTAAAAGGTTGACAGTACAGCAGTGTTATTTTGACTATAAGGGGAAGTGGGTTGAACAGAAAATCGATAGCATGCCAGTTGTTCATGACGCCGGTGGCACCGGTACCCTGCGCCTGGTGTCACTGGGAAGCGCACAATGGCACCAAGAGTAGAACTGCGTCCTGCATGAGCACGCGGAGAACGAGACTCTCTCGTGCCCCGTGACGATTCACGCCACACCCCTTCGAGCAAAAAGGCATCGGTATACTGGCTACAACGCCACTTTTTCGTCATGAAGCGGCGGCACGTTGAACGACCCATAAACGCGGAGTGCAAGGTACACCTACCCCTATAGCCACTGTAGCGGTGTGGTTCTTTGGTTTCCTCCTCTCGTTCGCTTTTTCTCTTCTTTCAGTTGGTATTCAAGGAAGCTACGGAGAAAGAACCACTAAATAGTGACATACAACCTCACCTGGAGTGTCGACACGACCAAAGGAACCTACAGGCATTGACACTTCATAGGTCGCGAAACATGATAAAAGCACCGACGTGACTTAGTTATGATGAAAATTTAAAAAAAATTTCATTGCATCTATATGTGTGCTTGCGTTGTGAATTTTTGTTGTTTTTGTTTCTTCTGATAAGTGTTTCACTATTTTAATGGAAGGAAGATGTTTCGGCAGTGGCCCGCCACTTTGGTGGCACGAGGCCAAGAAAGATGAAGTGCATTAATAAATCTTCCAATTGTTGTTCCAGTCTACGCCAATGCTGATTCATATTCGAAGCACACACTATCTGGAGGAAGCTTAGGATCCTGTAATTACTTTGAAACGTCATGTAATCAGTGGCTAATAACTGAAGGACATGAAAAATATTTACTCACACAAAAATGCGCCGGTGCTGACGGTCAGCATAAACAGTTGCAAACGCATCTCGGCAAAAAGGCGTAAAGTTTCCGTTATTCTGACCTTTAGAAAGCCACTTGTTGGGTCTTTATATATCAAACCAAAATGAAAGAGTAAAAAAAAAAAAAAAAGCATCTGTGCGGAAGTCCGCTAGACTTATTCCGGATGCGGAGAAGGGTGCAGTTGAAATGTGTTGTGGGCGTGCTTCTTTTTTGTTGGGATATTTTTCAGGAAAAACACAATGACTACGGGCGTACACAATATGTTTTCCAGCATAGCGTTGAACATAGATAGCAGGGGTCTTAAAGGGATGCTGAACCGAAATTTTGGGTGGAAATTCTTGGTCGCAATGGCATACATAGCATGTCCTTTACTTTTAAATGACGTTGTTTTGAGCGAGAAGGCGTATAAAATTGAATAAACACGAAAAATAAAATTTTACGCGACCCCTGGTGACCGTCGTGGAAAGCTCGCTTCGTGACGTGCGCATTCTCATTCACCTCAAAAGACAGACGGAGCCAAGCCAAGCCAGGCGCTAAGCCGGGTGGCGTTTGTTATTGTTAGTACCAGCCACTTTGAGAACAGTCGCCGAGCGAAGAATCAAGGCGAGCACCAACGAACGAGGAGAATATGCGGAGGCACCAGGGGCCCTCGGGGCGCCGAGGATGCGCACGTCAGTTCCGCTACGCCTGCTCTCAGAAGGACTCGCTCGCGCCGGCGGCTTCCGGCCGAGGATTCGCTCTTAATTCCAAGAAATACAATAATTCGGGCCCCATCCGTCGGATTGAATATCGTTTTTAGCTACAGTACCATCCCGTGAAGCCCGCTCGGGCAATAATTATGAGATTTCAAATATCGGTTCAGCATCCCTTTAAACACGCGTCCAGCGGGCCGCATACGGCCCGCCAGGCGCTGGGACGCGGCTTGAAGGCAACCCGCCGCGAGTCCCTGTTCCCGTGTCTCGAGAGCTAGAAATGACATACACAATATTCACCTCATGTCGTCGATTCATTTCCGCTCGAAACATAGCTCTGCTTTTATAGCTTTCATTTGCCTTATGCTTGGTTTATTTTTGCTTTCCATCATTTTTCATGTTAATCACCCATACGGCAATTCTTCTACTATTCTCGCTTTTATAAAATAACTCCATTAAAACACAAGTATTTTCTGAGATTACTTGTATTAAAATTGCCAGGAGAGCAGGAGTTGTTCTTGTTCAGTTAAAAAAAGAAATGTCAGCAAGTAGGTGGGGCGGCACCATTCCAACTTTTTATTACGACAGTGATCTTATAGACAAATCAAAGTTCAATATGTCACTGGGAAAACCTGCGAGTTTACAAAAAAAAAGCAGACCAACGCAAGATTCATTTATAAAATAATCTAACCCCCCCCCCCCCCCTCCCTTCCCTCCGTTTCAGCCTTACATTGGCCCCCGACTGTTCAGGGTGTGGCCTATTTGGCACCCACTCTCCAATGAGTTTGAGACTCTTGGTGTATAGGATTCGAAAACGCGCGGTAGGTTACGTTTGGTCAGTTTACAGGGTCAATTGTCCTGAGAAAATGCCACCCCAGATTGTTTCCGATTCTCGGACCATTTACAAAAAGGCACCTTGCCGTTTATCTCGTCCAGGTTCATTGAGAAGAACAGGTATTCGTACTTTCAAATCATGACAAAGACCACTGTTCTGGTTTACAGTTTGTGCCATACTATATGGAGGGGTTGTGTTTTTGTAACATTGAAAGCTACGAACGATAGAGTTATTTTGACAAAATGCGCCCCAAGACAGGGACAGAGTAAGTAAAACAAAACGAAGCTTCGTCTTGTCTTACTTAATCCGTCCCTGTCTTGCGGCGCATTTCGTCAAAATAAGTCATGTACCAACTGACCCATCTGTCACTATTGATGGAGAGATTTCATAAAGTGCAATGAGTTGCAGTTGCTGTGAAGCTGAAGCTTTTACACTCCACCCCGCGCAGCCGAGGGGAAGGTTGACGAATAGGATGGGATAAATACGGCCTTAACAGCGACTCCAGTAGTTTATTCATTTTAAGATGTTGACATCTTCCAAGCAACACTTGCTTGCAACTTTTGTCGTGGGACAAATAAGTATTGCCAATGAAAGTGGCGTGAACGCGAAATCCTGCCGAAGAAATATTATTTAATACAAGGGCGTTCTCTTGAATCAAGCATACATAAAGCACACGGATATTATTTATTTTTTTGAAAATATTGAACACTGCAAAATTAAACTCTGAATTGCGAAGAATCGAGAATCTAACAAAAAGAATACTTGGAGCGGAGAGCCTGCTGGTAAGGATAATATAAATAACGGGAATTGGACGAAATATAAACTACGAAAACACGGAATGCTAAACATATATTATCAGACATATATCCCATAAAGTCGACGCTCGGGACTGCTGAAGCCCTGATATTCTAAAATGATTAATGAATATACATAGTCGTGTGTTAGTCGTACGTGCCTCAAGAAAATAAAGCGCCGTTCACACTCTTGCAACCGAGTACGACCGAGAGAGACAAGACCAGTTTTTAATCCTCTTACGACTTCTTAGGACCGGATGCGATGTAGCGGAGCTGGTCCTAAGAGATCGCAAGAGGCTTAAAAACCGGTCTTGTCTCTCTCGGTCGTACTCGGTTGCAAGAGTGTGAACGGGCCTTAAGCCTCTGCTAACATTTCAGTCCTCCCACTCTAAACTACTTTGAAAAGAAGAATAGGCAATCAGTGCCTTAGAAATGTCCTAAAAGTTCTGCCCTTACACCCCGTAAGCCATCCGTAAAGCACAAGCCGCTTGTCTTTAAATGTCGGGTACGCTCTGTAGTTGCTGATCACTGCTTCAGAGAACAAAGCACAAGAAAGTAACAGAGGCTGAAACCAAGACTACGGGTAAAACTACGGGAAAGAAGAATAAAATGCATCTGTGATTCCCTACATTAAGCGGGTTTCGCATTGCCTCAAGAAGATCGGCGCATCAGTGAAAGTTAACGTTGTTCTTTGAGCACCCAATGAGCGTCCAGCATTTACCAGATGGCGCCACCCACCACTCAGTGGACAAGAGTATCATCTCCCACTTGATTTCTGCACCCGTGGGGCAGTGACAAACCGCGAGTAGTGTAGCTAAGTGGCAGAGCCAACATTTCAGCTCCAATTTCCTTTCGCCTCCCACCCCTCATTGGCTAAGAAGGGGTCATATGCGCCAAATTTGACTACAACTATTGCAGTGAAGCGGACTTGCGCAGCGCCGGATTTGGGGTGGTGCATATTTTGCGCTCTGCGTCTGCGAAATGTAGATTTCACATTTAAGCCTGACGAGCAGGAGGCTTCTTAAAACTTCGAATGCTGGGTTTGCGGATTAGACATGTTTAATAGACCTTCTGCTATATTACCCAAGCATCAAGGAGACTGCAGGGATGGGTGTTCCACGTACCACACGCGCACGCCTTCCCCGTATAAGGATTCGAAGTAAATAACCAAAATAAAGCGTTGACGAAGGCGCGCGCGTGCAAGATGCAATTTGTTTTAGGTATTTGCTTTAGAAAAGTTACTACTGCTGAGGCCAGCACGTGCGGCGCGTGGAACACCAATCCCTGCGCTCTCCTTGATGCTTGGGTAATTTAGCAATAGGTCCATTGCGTTCCTTTTAGAATGCGAACGCTGTTTCAAAGCGGCCATGTACAAGCAAACGACTCCACAACCGACGACGCAGCGCAAAATTCCAAGAGGGATACTCACCGCGGCGCACGCGTAGCGCTGCCGGCGCATCTGCGGTGAAACGCCGCTTCCTGTTGCGCCCGTCGCTCTCCTGTAAGTACAATGACCACTTATCCAGCATTATATGGAGTCAAGAATTTGAGTCCGTTGATATACTCTGCTCCGCAAGTGCAGCATATGCAGCTACTCTAAACCGACTAACCCACGGCACCACCGGTATCATGAAAGTCACACCGTCGTTCGTTTAAAAAAATCGCTCGACAGTTGTTTGTTTTTGTTTTTGTCGCGCCGTTGGCGCTGTTATTAGTGCTAAAATCAAGGTGTCGAACCGTAATCGGAACTGAACCTTAGCCCGAACCGAACCGCTTATTCTGCCCGAAGAGGAACACAACGGGAACCGAAATGTTCGGCGCCATTTCGGAGCTGAACATCAACCGGAACAAAACAAATGAACCGTTCCGAACCGGTTTGTGCGCGAATTCGAGCTACTATTCCGTGCGCTGTGCCCCGGAAATTTTGACCGGCTTAGTTAGCGCCGCGGGGCAATGTGCTTGAACTTATGCAAATATTTTTGTAAGCAAATTTTACAAAGACGAAGGTCAATAACCGCTGTTACTGACTGCCACAAAATTCGCCTGTGTCGTTGAAAGCCACCGCGCCCACACGCCCGGGAAAACACAGCCTCCATGTGCCGACGGCATGACGCATTGAGCCGTACAGGACAAAACACAGCTTCAAATTCTGCTTTACTAAGGTCGACGACAACAAAGCGGGGCCAGATTTAGAGAATTGCCGTTTATCAAAAAGGTACTGCGCCGTTTAAAAAAAAAAAAGAAAAAAGGATTTTCCCAATTCGCGCCCAAGTCCAGGCCGTGACTAGAGCCAAAGAGGTCGCCACAATCTCGACGGACGGCCACCTAGCAAGATCAGCTGACCCACCTGTAACTCTAGCCAACAAAAAAGTTTTCCAATGAAAAAAAAAAAAAAATCCCGTCTGCCTGTAGATGGAGAAGAAAAGTATCGTTCCTCCCATTTTCTCCTGTCCGCTTGGGGGCGAGTCAGGCAGCAAAGTGGGTTTCCCGTCATCAACGACAACAGAACAAGAAATTATGTGCCGGAACACCGAGGATCGGCTTCTGCGACGGAGGCGTGGCCCATGGCTGCTCTCAAAAGCTGCCCCTGGAAACGCTGCGGCTTTAGCGGGCTCAGCGGCACGATCGGAGCAGGAATGTCTTTTCGCTTCCTGTTCTACGTTAAGATCCTGCTGTGGCAGTTTTAGAGCGCAGCTGTTAGATG